GCCTTGCAGCTGCTTCCTTTCTTCTATAAATAGAGGAGTTTTCAGTTCATTATGTACATCAGTTTGAAATTGAATAATATATCAACCTCTCTCTATACTTGTCTTTGGTTTATTTACTTTATAGTCTTTATTTTATAACACGTTATCAGCACGAGACTCTGCCATTTTGAGCACTTACTTCGAATTTAATTTTTATTTCAGTGTTCATCTCCGATTTAAGGCGGCGCTCTTACGTCCGTGGTTAGATCTTGTTCATTCCTAGCATCATAAGGCATATTGTATCCTTGAGGTGGTGAGTTTTTCTTCTTGGCAGTAGTGATGTAGATATCACTTACATATGGAGTGGCCAAATTTGCGTAATTTAATTTGAGCCTTTTGCTTATATTTTAATATCTTTATCATCGCTTGCTTGGTTATATATTACGTATACAGTACCTATTTTAGTATTTATTTTTATCCTTATTATCTTAATAAAGGATTACAAAGTGGATAACATTGTTAGATCCACTTAAACTCCAGCAGAGTTTGCAAGAAATATACAACCACCAGAAGTGGTTATATTTCGTATATCTTATTGTAACTAAATTTTGTTAACCACCGGAAGTGATATATGCCTATGACTACCAGAAGTGATAATTTAGGCTTTCTATGATTACAATTAAAGATAAGCTAGAGAAATATTCTCTATATTACATGCACGCCTCGATTTGCTCCTGAAGTAGTAAATATTTTAAAAGAGGTTGAAGCATCACAATTTGATGTGATTAATGCGCGTTTAGATAATTATGTTCGATTTCCTGAAGGATGAGAATGTTTTATAAATATTAATCTATTCCCTCAAGTGAATGTGATAATATTAATAAAGTCATAAATATGAACGCGCTCTTGTTGTAAATATATTACAATTCACCTCCAAAAGAGTTAATATGATTGAGAGAATATATACTCAATATTTCGTATTTTAAATTTGCTCCTGAAGAAGTAACGCAATTGAAATTTTCTCCCGAAGTAGGAGAATATTTTGAAGCAGTTTCTTTATGTGCTTAAATAAAATAATGAGCTATTTAAAGTTATTTTTAAAGCATATTTTCATTCCCTGGAGTGAATGAAAAAATACCGCAACTCACCTCTTGAAGAGGTAGAATAATAGAGGATATATATATTATTTTTGTAGCATAAAGATCATTGCCACACGTACTTGTTGTACGTAAAACATCTTAAATATTTTTATTAAGTATCATTCTAAGGCAAAAGCATTCTTGTAGAATGCTTTTTACTACAACCACATTAATATATTATGGTTAGTTATTGAGTTCCCCGAAGGAAATAACAACTCGTGTATCTTTCCTTAAAAAAATACAATGACTATGTGGTTGCCGTATTGATATAAAATATTCAGATGTTAATGATATTTCTCCTTGAAGGAGATATTTGTCACAAAGTTAGTGGTAAAAATATTAAAATTCTTAATTTTCGTCATTTAATAAATTTAGAATTGTCTTTATATTGTTAATTTGATTATGATTTTCTCTCATAATACCAGAAGTGTCTGAGAAATATTTAATAATACAAAATGTATCAAAAACGCATGAAGAACTAACTGTTTGTCTAGAAGACACATGCCACCAATAGTGTCTGATAAATATTAGATTGTGGATAATAAATGAAGGCTCTCGAAGAGATTATATACAAATGTCATTCATATTATATGATTATGGTCAAAACATATGTTGTAGTAAACCCGAAATTTACTAATACAAATGGCTATCATATTGAGACCACAAATGATTGGAAGATTGAAAATCTTCATGTTTCCACAATCATAGGGGGTAAAATAATATGTATGTGAGACGTTACCCGCCCTATTCTTCAATTTATACTACATCATGTATCATAGTAAACCAGAAGTTTACTAATTCAAAAGCAGTCACAGTAAATCAGAAGTTTTACTGAGGCAAAAGTAGTTATTGTAAACCAGAAATTTACTGATACAAAAGTAGTCACAGTAAATCAGAGTTTACTGATGCAAAAGTTTATGTCATAGTAAACCAGAAGTTTACTTAGAGATAGCACATGTAATGATAAACTTGAAGTTTTCATTTGCCATTTTTAAATTAGCTATTTGAGAATTCAGATAAGCATATACTGAAGAACTAGAAGATTCTTCAAGAATTCTCTTGTGTTGCTTGTTCTTATAATAAATTGATTATACCAGCTAAAGTTGGGACTAAAATCTCCGATTTCTAGAATATATAAAAGGTGAATATGGGCCCATTCACCTATCATGTGAACCACTTATAGATGCATATATGAGTTGGTTACATGTGTGTTTATTGTCAACCTGCAGTTTGGCATTTGAAATTGCCTTTCTCAATTAAGAGTATAATTTTCATATTATGAAATCAAGATAGTTTATCTTGATGATGCTGGTTTATATCCAAGCTAGTTTAGCATCGAATACCTCCTATTAATGGCTAAACTATTGCTTATGAGAACAAAGCCTCATGTGTTGGTCTAAGATTTTATAAATTGTATACAACAACACTTGTATACATCAGACCAACAAAATATGATAAGTCCTCCCCTCACAATTGGTTTAGGATTAGAAACCAAATTTTTTTACTACCTAATAACTTTTGATGTGTAATTTATGATTAATTTCTCTACCACAATGCACAAAGATATGTTTTCCAAAGAAGATTGGGGATATGAGTTAGTTTTTCTAATATTTCGGGGATGGAATAAACAGCTCAAAAATATGCTATATGAATCGAATTATCATTAATATGATCCTCACTTAGAAGATAATTCAAGTCAAATGCCAGAAGCATTTGCTGATACAAAATTAAATATCATATTTCAGCTGCAAATGCTCCTATTAAAATTAAGTCTCTGAAGGATAAAGTTTACTGCACGCATGAAGTGTAGTAAACCGATCGGTTCCAAAGTTAACAATCCTTGAAAAATAATAGGAGCAAATAAAGAAAGTGAAACTCAAGAAGAAGTTCAGGCACCTGAAAATAAAGAAAGTGATGACCTATATGACTCATTTGATTAAATCTATATGAAGATCCCTAAAGGATTTAAAATGCTTGAAGCATATAGTTCAAAGTCTCGAGAAGTATACTCGATCAGATTACAAAGGTCTTTGTACGATTTAAATCAATCTGGGCGCATGTGATATATTCACCTCAGTGAATATTTGCTAAAAGAAGGTTACATAAATGATGTTATTTGTCCATGTATTTTTATAAAGAAAATGACATCAGAATGTTATACGTGCTATTTATGTTGATGACATAAATCTTGTTGGAACTCCAGAAGATCTCCAAAAGGCAAGTGAATATCTTAAGAAAGAATTTGAGATGAAAGATCTTGAAAAGACAAAACTTTATCTTGGTGTGCGAATTGAACATTTAGCAGACGGGATCTTTATCCATCAATCTGCCTATACAGAAAGGGTCTTAAAATGCTTTTATATGGACAAAGCGCACCCATTGAGTATACCAATGGTTGTTCGATCACTTGAAGTGAATAAAGATTTGTTCCGACCTTCAAAAGAGGATGAGGAACTCCTTGGTCCCGAAGTACCCTATCTCAGTGCAATTGGTGCACTAATGTATCTTGCTAATGCTACAAGGCCTGACATAGCATTTTCTGTTAATTTACTAACAAGATATAGTTCTTTTCCTACACAGAGATATTGGAACGAGATTAAGCATATATTACGATATTTAAAGGGAACTCTTGATATGGGTTTATTTTATGCTAACAAAGAGAGTGCAGATCTTGTTGGTTATGCAGATGCAGGTTATTTATCTGATCCTCATAAAGTTAGATCTCAAACCGGTTACGTTTTTACATGTGGAGGTACTATCATATAATGGTGCTCCACAAAGCAATCTATTGTTGCTACTTCTTCAAATCATGCTGAAATAATAGCTATTCATGAAGCAAGTAGGGAATGTGTATGGTTGAGATCAATAATTCATTTTATTCGAGAAAAATATGGTTTGGAATGTGAGAAAAGACCCACAGTTTTATACGAAGACAATGCTGCATGCATAACCCAATTGAAGGGAGGATTTATAAAAGGAGATAGAACGAAGCACATTTCACTAAAATTCTTTTACACATACGATTTTCAGAAAAATGGTGACATTGATGTGCAACAAATCCGTTCAAGTGACAATCCGGCAGATTTATTCACTTAATCTTTATCAACTTCAACTTTTGAGAAGATGGTATACAAGATTGGAATGCAGAGACTTAAATATTTGAAACAAGGTTTTCATCAGGGGGAGTAAAATACGCGATGTACTCTTTTTCCTTAATAAGGTTTTTTCCTCTAGGGTTTTTCTTATAAGGTTTTTAATGAGGCAGCTAGCAATGCGTATTACTAAATATGTGTACTCTTTTTCCTTCACTAGGATTTTTTCCCACATGATTTTTTCCTAGTAAGATTTTATTAGGCACATTATCTATTAATGAACAACCAAGGGGGAGTGTTATGAAAATAATTATATTGTGGATGTCCATTTATTACTCCGCTATAGATAATCTTCCTGAAGAAGATTATCCATTTAGTATTCTGTTGAATTTTATCTACAAGCAGCTGATGCAGGCAGGTTACAAACAGCTCAATGAAATGATTTGCAATAGCTTCTTATTAAATAGACAGGTTGCAAGCAACTCATGCAGACAGCTTACAAGCAGCTAAAGAAAAGCCTTGCAGCTGCTTCCTGAAAAGCCTCGCGGCTGCTTCCTTTCTTCTATAAATAGAGGAGTTTTCAATTCATTATGTACATCAGTTTGAAATTGAATAATATATCAACATCTCTCTATACTTGTTTTCGATTTATTTACTTTACGATTTTTATTTTATAACAGGGTATAACTTTTATCCATTGTTGTCTTAAATTGTTTTTTCAAAAGACTGTTCAAATCTAATTTTCTGAAACACTAAACCAAAATCAAATCTATTAAATGTCTGAAAAACTAAACAAAAATCAAATCTTAAAGCTTTTGAAAGATGGTGTACTTTTTGATAAACCCAATTCAAACTTATTATCCAATTTAACTATGAAAAATGCTATCATCAATTAGAAGATTGTCCATGTCAATGTCCATATCATCAATTTCCTCTTTAACCCTCTATTCATTTCAATCTCCAAATTCACTTCGCAAATTAATCATGGATTCATCATCTTCAACAAACCACAGCTTTAATAATACTTCTCAAAAAAGACTATTAGCCTTAGCTCAACAATTGCGTCTTTACAAACCCCCACCTCCTCAATTTGACACTGATTTTGAGGAGAAAAAATTGGAAGAGAGTGCAGGGAAAGTTGTTTCTCAATTGGGTTTTCAAGAATCAGTGACCCCAATTTCTGCTGTGCAAACTGAAAGATTTAAACCTAAAAGAGCTGCTGTTTTGATCTGTCTTTTTGAAGGGGATGCTGATGGGGAATTAAGAGTTATTCTCACTAAGAGATCTTCTAAGCTCTCTACTCACTCTGGTCAGTGAACTTTAGATCCTGTTTTATTTTTTATGGCTCACTTTCCTTTTTAGTTAATGGCACCTTTTTATATTTAGAAATAATTTAATTTTAAACTTCATGATGATTTATTTGGCATATCTTCCGGTTTAATTTGTCCAAAAGAATGGCATATTTCTATACTCAGAACTAATTTAATTTAAATTTTTATTTTACACTTAATAAGATGATTTATGTGGCACATTTTCATTTTTAGTTTGTCCAAAAAGAATAACACATATGGATGGATATTCAGAAACAGTTTAACTTTAAACTTCTTATTTTACCTTTAGTGAGGTAGATTTATATCCATATAAATGTTTGTGACTTGTTCTATACCACAAGTTTCGAAGTCTTTCTTTCTTAAACTTCATGCCTAGCCAAAGCCATTGTTCTGAAACANGATTATATGCAGAAACCCATAATTTACGTCAAAGGACATATCTTTTAGTATTGGAATGAAATGAGTCTGAATAGAACGGTTTGGATATAGAGGCCGAGGATTCATATGGCCGACAGACTCCAAATAATTGTTGGGATTGAGATGTAGTTGGTTGGTTGTTTTGATATATGGTTGTGATTTGATGCATGCAAGACAGCAAGAGGTATGCGGTTTACATGTCGATGATGATAGTGTGACTTGATGTATGTTTGGAATTTATCCAGCACAGTGAATTTTGCTCAGCTATAATGTAAAATTGCCTAGCGTATGGAAAATTCTTGTGTTGGTTTGCATGATAAAATAGTAAGTCTTAAAATATAACCAGTTTTCTTTTGGATTTATAAGAGGATTGTAGTCCACCATTGGTAATCAAGATTGGTACGTGTCCCACATTGGTTGAGGAAACAAAGATGTTGTCTCCTTAAATAGTCTTGGGGCAACCTTCGCCTCATGAGCTAGCTTTTTGGGTTGAGTTAGGTCAAGATCCATTTACTTAACATGTAGTAGAGCCAGATCCATTCATATTCTTGGTTTCCCAATATTGGTCCCCATGTTATGTTATCTGCGATCGAGATATCTAGGCTTGGTCGTGCGGGAGGTGTTAAATGTCCTTTATCGGTTTACAAAATGGGTTGTTGTCTCTTTATATGATCTTGGGTAACCCTCAACTCATGAGCTAGCTTTTTGAGTTGTGTTCTGCACATATTCCATTTTTTAACAAAGACTTTTAGTCTATCCAATATCCTTGTTTTCATCCAGTTGGCTCCACGTGTTAAATTGATTGTAAAACTAAGTTGACATAATTGTGTAATAGTTTTTTTGTTTTCTCTAGAGATTGTGGTTCGATGCTTCTGATAACCATTTTGATACAGATGCGTTGCTGCTGAAATGTTGTTATTTGGATGTTTAGGCAATTTACTATCTTTCTTGTGATTGATAGTTTGCGGCTTGCAAATTTTGCCTAATTGATTCATACTTCTGTTTATTCAAGATATTGATTTTCTATAATCTTGTTACCAAATTGCTTAAAGTATTTTAACTTAACATTTGCTGTTATTTATACTATTCTCTCCGGCATAATATAGTGCTAGGTTAGCTGATTTGAACTAAAAAGTCATTCACGCAGGTGAAGTTGCATTACCTGGAGGGAAAGCTGAAGAGGGAGATGCAAGTGATGCTGACACTGCAACCAGAGAAGCAAAGGAGGAGATAGGATTAGATCCTTCATTGGTTAATATCGTGACTTGCCTCGAGCCATTCTTGTCTAAGGTATGTGGTTATCATCTAGCCTATAAAGAAACTTCGGGTGGATGTCATCATAGTATTGGTTGAAACAAAACTTGTTTCCTAATAAACTTGCTGAATTATTAGCTGAGCTTTCTAGTAGAGCGCACAAATGCAGGGTAAGGCTGCGTACAGTAGCTTAGTGCACCGGGCTGCCCTTTCTAGTAGAGTGAAAATTTTCTTGTCTGCGTAAATGATCAGAGAAATGTATCTGGAATGTAATGGTGAATCTGCTGAGAAAATCTTCTCTGTTTCTGTGCTAGTCAGTTGATGAATTTAATATGGAGAACACACTTTCATAAGGCTCAACTTGATGTTTTAGTTTTTCTTTAATTATTTCTTCAAGAACAACTAAGCCTCAGTCCGAAACAAGTTGGGATTGGCAATATGAATTCTCAATGACTATGTTCCCCGTTTAAATTCATGTCAGACCAACACCATACAAAATAAAAAACAAAAATGGGAAGTACTGGAAGCTCTTTATATTTCCTACTGGCATAATTTATTACTATTTCTTCAACAAGATTAAAATTCATTTAGGGTTTCTTCCAAGCAGTAGTTGTGCTCTGCTGACAGTGTACAATCCATTTAGCCTTAGGCCCCAAGTTTGTGTACTGTTTAAATGCTTGTTCTTTCCTTCTCCATCGTAGTGTACGATCTCCTGCAAATCTTTTATAGTGCTGGTTATCTCAGAAGTTCACTTTATATTAATACATCAACGTAAGAATGATTTACTCTCCTTGCTCCTTGTCTCTTATCCCTATCTGGGAAGGAGTCCTTGTTTGGTTGGGAGGAGGGCTAAGGGAGACAAATAAGAGAAAATGGTTTATGGAAAATGTGATACATTATAAATGCAAAGAAACACGAAGAAAATTCACTAGTCACAAGTTGATAATTTCACATTATTGGCTGAACATGGATCTGGATAAGCCTTTTAAACGAGTTATTGAAATGTTTTATCAAAAAAATGAAAAATGCCTGCTCACTATTTCTATGTCCAACTTAAAATTCATTGTGACCTATGTTTTGTCAAAATTATGGATCTCTTAGTGTCTGAAAAGAGCAGCATTGCAGTTAATGTACATTAAACAGAAAAACATTGCACGTACTTTACTAGTGTTACACTAATACTTGGTTTAAGTTTTGGTGCACTTTTGCACATATCTTTGGCATTTCTGTCGCATTTGTAGTTTTTGTAGTGTTAAGAGTATTAAGGTGCTGATTTTGATGTTTTTGGCTTAGTTAATATACGGCAAATATTTGAGCTGTGTGTTGCATTGAACAGAACACAATTGTTTTCTCCTCCCAAAGCGAGTTGGCATTTTTACCATTTAGCAGTGAAATTAATCAATTTTTGGAGTAAATTAGAACACTGGATAAACTTACGGATTCCGAAACTGCTTAAAGGATTACAAACCTCAGAATCTAGACTTGCAAGAGTATCAATAACAAAATTTCGAATATTCTATTAAAGAAATTGAATATTGCTGTTGGATTAGAACTGAAAATAAGAAATGTTAATCGTCTTAGGATGGAGTGAGTTAGTGGAGGTGATCACTGACGATATCTTCATCGAAGCATTACACCATTTTCTAGTAAACTTTTGAAATGTCAACCATTTCCTTACAATGGAAAATATTCTTTTACTCGTATAACTAATTACATTTTCATTCATTTAAATCTGTGCATGATTGAGAAGCTACCTTACCAGTCTATGGGATATTATCAAAAATTACAAACAACCTAGCTTGCGCGCACCTCGGCTATTTCACTAGTTACATGTTACCTTCCACCAACATAGGTACTGAGTAACTCTGCCACCTAGGCTTAAACAAATGGAAAGAAATCACCTAATGTTTTCTTTATCTCCGTTGAGATGTGACCATTTTGTCCAACCATAAAACAGACAAAGGCGTAAGCCACGTGTATCATAAGATAAAAAGAGATAATCAATGTCCACTCATGGTATATGCTATGATTTTACGTGGAAATGACACCAGGTAGCCACTCTACAAGGCTGCTATTTAGGAATTAGCCAGTGCGTCCCGAATTTTAGTTTTTCAGTTCAATTTTTCAGGACAAAAGTGTCCTGAAGTTAAGATTTTTAGTTTAAAATTTTAAGATAAAATAAGTACTGGCTAATCTCTAAATAGCATCCCTGAAAATGGCTATTTGTGCACTTGCCCCTGATTTTAGATCTAGTGGAGGGTACAGTTGCACACTTGGTTGATTAGATTGTAAACCTATCATCTGCTAGTAAGGCCTTCCATTTTATTTTCCTCCAATTTGAGTAGCCTTCCATCATCAATCCACCATATGAAATAAAGAGAAACAGTATCTATATAAAAAAAGGAAAATGTTAAAGAAATAAATAGAGGTTAAAAAAGAATTGCTAATAATGGCAAATAAAATGAAATTCCTCTTATTTACATGGCATGCCATATCGACTAAGCAAAGACAATAATGCATTTTAGGATGTAAGAATTAGTTGGTTATCTTATATTTGGTTGAACTCATTGTCGCATCATCCTGGAAGTCTTTGGCGGATCTGGTTTCAGATTTCTTTGTTGTTAGCTCATCCATTTTATTCAAGTTTTTACCAAGTTTGTCTTGTCTAAAACTTGTTGCTGCTAAATTTTTTGCATTTAAACAGCTGTGAACCCGAAGTCCGAAGGGGAGCCTTGGCGTAACTGGTAAAGTTGTTGTCATGTGACCAGGAGGTCACGGGTTCGAGCCGTAGAAACAGCCTCTTGCAGAAATGCAGGGTAAGACTGCGTACAATAGAACCTTGTGGTCCGGTACTTCCCCGGACCCCGCGCATAGTGAGAGCTTAGTGCACCGGGCTGCCTTTTGTTTTTTACACAGCTGTGAACCCGAAATTTGAATCCTGATAAGTGTCAGTATAATGGAGAAATCATTTAACTAGCAACGGAACAATCCCTTTGTACTTTGTGGTTGCGTGTGTATTTCTCATACATTTGTTATTTTTGCAGCATCTTCTTAGAGTGATTCCTGTAATTGGGATTCTCTCCAATAAAAAAGAATTCAATCCCACTCCTAATATTGCTGAAGTAGAAGCAGTTTTTGATGTCCCATTGGAGATGTTTCTCAAGGTTTGTACTTTCCTTCGACAAGTGACGAATACATTTCTTCCATTTCTTGGATACTTACGCGAAATATCCTTATTCAGGACGAGAATAGGAGATCAGAAGAAAGAGAATGGATGGGAGAAAAGTATCTGATTCATTTGTTCGACTACGAGTTGGAAAACAAGAAATATTTGATCTGGGGTCTAACTGCTGGGATTTTGATTAGAGCAGCATCAGTTGTGTATCAGAGAGCACCTGCATTCTTGGAACAAAATCCTAAATTCAAGCTCCCTAGAGTGGTGGACAAAGATACTACAATGAATTAACTTTGATCTTTGTAATTCTTGTATAATCCAGCTTGTGTAATAAATTAATTAAATGGACATAGTGGAGTATTATTATGTATTTTTCAAACATCTGATGTAGTGACAAAATTTAAGACCACAAATAATAAATTTTTACATCATTTTTTTAAAAATACCTTCCTCACAGATAAGTCCTTGACAAGGGGGTTAACACTAGGAATGGATTCTCTCTCTCTCTAACTGCCTGCTTTTCCTGTAGGATTTCTCCTGACTGGAATTAATGTTTTTTTTCCATGTGATGTTCAGGAATGGCGATGAGATAGCAGTGGTAAAGCTAAGAGTTTATCTTTCTTATCTGGGTTAATGAAAGAAAGATGGCTACTGGCTAGTTGAAGCACTTGGTTACTGATTTAGAGCTAGGACTAGATTTTATAATACCATCTGATGTATTCATGTTGTGTTTCAATAAGATCCAGAAATCTAAAAATACATACTTCCTATCTTTAGCAATTTTGAAGATACTTACTTGAATGGTCGCCTTGAGTCGAGGGTCTGTTGAAAATAGCCTCTCTATCTCTACAAGAGTAGGGGTAACGTTTGCATACACACTATCCTCCTCAGAACTCACTATATGAGATTATATTGGATATGTTATTATTGTTGTTATTGTTACTTGAATGGTCGATGTGCGCACAAGGTGGTGGTTCGAACACTACCGTCCTAAAAAGCAATTATGGGGCTGTTGAACTAGCGACAATTAATTAAGATAGGTAACTAATTATAATGCCAGTGGTTGAAGTAGGCAGTAGATTAATTGTTGGCTTCTTTATTGCCTATTGATTTATTAACCTTATTTTATACCCTATATAAAGTTGGTGTAAAGGCTTTGAGAACTTTAGGGATAATTGGAAAAACTAAATGAGAAAGTTACAAGATGGATTGAAAATTGCTTTCATTTCTGGTAAGGCTGCCTTGGTCCGAAAGGAGTTGTCAGCCAGCCAAGAAAGAACTGCATCTGTTATCACCTCAACAACAACGACCCAGTAAAATTTCACAAGTGGGTCTGTGGAGGGTAGTGTGTACGCAAACCTTACCCCTATCCCGAATGAGTAGAGAGGCTGTTTCCGAAAGACTCTCTACTCAAGAAGACGAAAAAGACGGGAAAGAACAATATATTAGTACCATCAAACAGAAATCAAAGAAATAATAACAGCATCATAGGAACTAGAAAATAGTTGGAATGCAATAACAAAACCAGAAAATAAGCCTCGATGCTATGAAAAACAGAAGGATAGTGTGAACACAATATAAACCACTATCAGTCTATGGCCACCCCTATCGAACTAGCCTCACCCCCGAATTCAACTACGTCTTAACCTACAACCCTAATGCTCGACCTCCAAACTTCCTTATCAAGGGCCATGTCCAAGAAAATCTGCAGCAACGCCATGTCCTGTCTGATCACCTCTCCCCGATACTTCTTAGGTCGCCCTCTACCTCTTCTCATTCCCGCCAAAGCCAAACTCTCGCACCTCCTCACCAGAGCATCAGGGCTCCTCCTCCACACGTGCCCGAACCATCTGAGCCTCACTTCCCGCATCTTGTCATCCATAGGAGCCACACCCACCTTCTCCCGAATAACTTCATTCCTAATCTTATCCATCCTAGTATGCCCGCACATCCACCTCAACATCCTCATTTCTGCCACTTTCATTTTCTGGATATAAGAGTTCTTAACTGGCCAACACTCTACCCCATACAACATGGCCAGTCTAACCACAACTCTATAGAACTTACCTTTAAGTAACGGTGCCACTCTCTTGTCACACAGGACTCCTGATGCTAACCTCCATTTTATCCACCCTACTCCTATATGGTTTGTGACGTCCTCATCACATCTCTCTGTCCCTCTGGATAATGGACCCTAGGTACTTAAAACTACGTCTCTTAAGGATGACCTGTGATCCAAGCCTCACGTCCATGCCCACTTCCCCCGACTCGGCGCTGAACTTGCACTCCAGATATTCTGTCTTAGTCTTGCTCAACTTGAAACCCTTAGATTCAAGGGTATATCTCCAAACCTCCAGCCTATCGTTAACACCGCCTCGTGTCTCATCAATCAGAACTATGTCGTCAGTGAATAACATACACCATGGCACCTCCCCTTGAATATGGTATGTCAATGCGTCCATCACCAGGGCAAATAAGAACGGGTTGAGCGCAGATCCTTGATGTAACCCCATAACAACCGAAAAATGCTCTGAGTCGCTTCTGACTGTCCTAACCCGAGTCTTAGCTCCATCATACATGTCCTTGATCGTTCTAATGTAAGCTACCGGCACACCTTTTGCCTCTAGGCATCTCCAGAGAACCTCCCTAGGGACCTTGTCATATGCTTTCTCCAAGTCAATAAACGCCATTTGCAGATCCTTCTTTCTATCCCTGTACTGTTCTATCAACCTCCTAATAAGGTGGATAGCTTCCGTAGTCGAACGACCCGACATGAATCGAAACTGGTTGTCAGATATAGACACAGTCCTCCTCACCCTTACTTCCACCATCATCTCCCAAACTTTTATGATATGACTAAGTAACTTGATACTCCTATAGTTGTTACAACACTGGATATCACCTTCGTTCTTGTACAACGATACCACCGTACTCCACTTTCACTCCTCCGGCATCCTCTTTGTTCTGAAAATAACATTAAACAGCCTAGTCAGTCGCATCTGTTATCACCTCATGGGAAAAAAAAGCTTTTAAAATGATGCAAAAACTTGCCAAGTTAATTATGTTTGTAGTAGTTGCTTTTTTTTTCTATGTTATTGCAGACAAGTTGATGTCTATCTTTTTCTTTTCCTTCACGTAGTTAATAGATGAGTAGCAAAGGTTCAATTGGATTTGAACACATAACATTACGCTTCACATTGTGACAAATTATTGATCACTAGGCTTTAGACACGGATATACATTGTATTCTGAAGCAGATTCAAAATTTAAAGTTTATGGGTTCCTATAAGAACACCATAAGTTAATATACAAGTAATAATTTGGTTTACAATCAGATATACGAAGTTCTTATTAACCCATAGCTTGTGCTCTGGATTCGTCACTGATTGTGTTCCATTTAACAACTTCTAAGGGAGATATGAACATCTACTAGGTCGCGAAAAAGTCTAATTTTGGATCTATCCACAGTCCAACTAGGGCAATCAAGTGCATGATAAATATCTTTTCTTTATTACTTACCTATGGTTAATTTATATTCTTATAATCTCAACATATCACTTAACCATAGTTAGTTAACATGATTTGGTGCATGCACTTATTTTAATAACTATAAAATTACTCAAACTAGGTTCTCATTTCTTTCTCAATATTGCAAAACAAAAGAGAATTTGAATCTTGAATTCTCCGCTACGTCGAAATCTTCCAAGATGCTTCAAAATCAATCACAAGTTAATCATTTCGAGCTGCCACATTTTTTCGTTCTTGAAATGTTTTATTTTTAAAAACCTATCATATAATCACCTCTAAATTTTCTAAGTTTGGCATAAGAAAGCAACTTTTGCCATAAAAATCACCTCTCTGGTTTTTTGTGATGTTGGTGCCTTGATAAGATCAATGTTATATTACTGAGACATATCGGATATGGATACACGTATATACCAGTATGTTTTGTTATTGGTAAAATTTTAACGTACTCGAAAAAATATCGTATGAAGTACTTCCATTCATATCACAATTTTCATCACCGAAATGGTTGAGATTATCATCTTTGATCATGAATTCGAGCATCGAAGTGAAATCTTTTTCTATAAGAAACATTTTACCCCTTAATATATCTATTTGGCGCAAAAATTGATCAAAACCGGATGTTGATACCAGATGATTAAACTGTGGAAAAAAGAATACTCGTCACACAAGTACATCTAGTCAAAAAAATACACCTTCGTCTAGTCATCGAAATGTACCTTCCTATCAATGGCGAAATCAGAAAATTCAATAAGGGTTTGAACACCCTTTACCAGTGGGCTATGCAAAGGTGTTCAAAATCTATTTTTAATCAATAACAAGTAATATTTTACCTTATACGTAGTATAATTTTTCGACGAAATATTGTGTTGACCACCCTTGGCCAATATAGCTTTGCCCCTACTTCTGATGAAACAAAATCTAGTCATCGATAAATACAAATGCATGGTATTAGCCAAAAAAAAAAAAAAAAAAAAAAAAAAAAAAAAAAAAAAAAAAAAAAAAAAAAAAAAAAAAAAAATCTAGTCATAGAAATGGAAAAAGAATTAAAAAAAAATATGGAAAACGAAAGGGATGAATTGGACAGATCATGACAAGGTGTACAATATTTATTAGACGACAAAATTGACCAGCAAGGCATATATATATATATATATATAATATGGAGTAACAAATTATTAAGAAGCAACCCCCAAAAATCCAGGACCCAATTAGACTTGTTAAAGCTTTAGCAAAATCTCAAATATCCTTTCTCTTTCTCAATACCTATGGCATCTAAAAACTTTCACAGATCAGACAGTCTCATTAAATTAGCTGAAAGGCTTCAACTTTATAATCCTAATAATCACCCTTTGAATAATACCCACATTCAAAATCAAAGTCCAAGAATTCAAGAATGTACAGTAAATGAGGTTGTTTCCAAAGACCAAGAATTGAAATCAGAATTTGGGACAGACCCAATAGATAATAATTCAAGAAGATCTAAATCCAATAGGGCTGCAGTTTTGGTATGTCTATTTGAAGACCAAAAAGGCTATCTTCGTGTAATTCTCACTAAAAGAGCTTCCACTCTGTCTACACATTCTGGTAACTATTTGATTGCCCAAATTTTTGACAAAATTATTACCTTTTTGTTCCATTTTTTATGTCATTCTATCCTTTTTAGTCTGTTAAAAAAAGAATGACCTTAGGAAACTTGTCAGCTTTAAACTTTACATCTTGTAGCCATAAAACCACAGGTTCAAAAGTGTTATTTTTCTACTCTTCAACTTCTAACTTTGTATTTTAACTATTTTACTGTATTGTGTCCTATAAAATCACAAGTTCTAATTATATTTCAGTAGTCCATCTGTC